ATATATGATGTACTATTACCATGTAAACTTCCACCGAAAATTGGTTTCAACGAGATCTAGTAAGTAGTTTTTTTTAATACGTCTTAAATCGTAAACCGCAATTTACCTTTTTTTATAGTATTAAGGGTGACAAACGAGCACACAGTCCACCTGATGGTAAGTGGTTGCTGCGGCCCATAGACATCTACGTTTATCCTCAATTAAGAATAAAAATGCAGATGCGTTCTCACCCCTGAGGACAAAGATGGAATGCCTCGTTTCCAATAAAAAGGGTCTCCGGTTCTCTACACTCACACACACAGCAGCGTTAAGCTGCTATTTTAAGCTGGTATTCTGTGAGAGCGATATCCTTCCCCGGTCGAGCTGACCCATTCGTGCTACAACCATAATATAGCTGCAGCATGGCTCTACCACGTATAAATAAATAAAAAAGTTTCTGTTTCTGTTCTGATTTGAATCCCAACTTCGCCTACTCTGTACAGAAGGGTTGGTGGGTACAAAAAAGTTCTGACCTAATCATCCACCATTAGTCGGTCGTCTCTGAAGAGTCAATAAGCAGTAAGCGCCACGTAAAATGTGAATTTACACATGAAGAAAAGATCCGTATACATACTCCCTCACGATGCCTTATAATAACATTTAACTTATACGTGGTAGAGCCATGTTATAGTTGTGGCACGAGTGGCTCGATCTCGACCGTGGTAGGACCACGCTCTCACAGAATACCAGCGTAAAATAGCAACTTAATGCTGTTGTGTTTCGTATGGTGAGATGGTGAGTGTAGAAGAACCGGGGTTAAGAGGCATTCCATCTTAGTCAAAACGGCTGACACCGCATCTGCATTTTGATTCGCAAACGAAGATAAATTTAGATGTCTATGGGTCACAGCACCCCCGTACCGTCAGGTGGACTGTGCGCTCGTTTGTCACCGTTACTCTATTAAAAAACCTATAGGTACCTATATACACTGAAATATTGTGCATACAATTCTACACGTATAAGTTATAAAGAACAACCGGGACTGCATACAATCAATATGCAATCTCTATTTGACTTCGACATAATAACAGTCGGCCAGTTCTCGATTAGCCGAAGTAGGATAATTTAAATACTTTTTAATCGCTCGATACATTGTTTACCGACGCGACGAGTCCATATCAGTCGCAAACGTCGCTCGACTCCGAGTCGACGGTTTACTTGCGGTTTATAATTATCGAATGTATAACGTTTGAACAAAATTAATTAAAGGTATTTCAAGCGCGCTGCTAGTTTAATGTTACTTTTTATCTAAAAGTAGTTTGTGTTAATTAATTCATAATTATGTAAATGTGTATGGAAATTTCATAAATACTTTGAGGCTCGTGTGCAAAAAGTTTTGTTTTATGATCGTTGTCTGCAGTGTCCCCTGTCCGTGGATATTACGTCTCTGCATATTAATATTCAAGTAATTTCAACATACATATTTCTGACACCGGTTAATAATTAAATAAATATTCGAATGTAAGCCAATTTAATTTATGTAATAAAGTAACAAACTTAGTGAGATCACAGAATGTTTTTACATGAATAAATCTTTTTACTTCGACTTAGAGATGTAATTTTAATAAAAAAATATTTCAATGTCTTGCAACCTCTTTATTAAGATCAGCGTTTAGTGACAGTAACTGCTGCTTATCTTACAGTAGTGAGTTCGAATCCGCCATACTATTTTCTTCATCTACTACTACAAATCTTTAAGCTAAGTTGCAATTGGTTTACATTAATAGAATTTAATATTAGATATAAAATATAGTATAATTTAGAAAAATTGAGCGGGCACTTAATTGGCTTCTAGATATTTTGTTTTAAAAACGTAGCATTATACCATATCCAAGTTATAAAGTTATGTAACTATATCACGTCTTTATCAACTCGCTTCCTTTTCTGTTTGCAATTTAGTACAAATTTTACAATCGATTTTAAACCAACTATTAACCAAGATATGTTAAAACTTTCAAGTCTTAGTCAACTTGAACATAGCTCAGAACTGGAATCGTAAAATATAGTCGCCATTTTGAATTGTAATTATTCAGTTTTCGTCCTCAATAATATATCTTTTATGTTTAAAAAATAATAATGACAGAGAACGGCACATCACACCATTTATTCCGCCTTATTACAAAAAGTACTTTATGGTCTCATGTTTAGAGTCTGTTACAATAAAGAAGTCCTGTGCAAAATATGCGAACTAAAATGTAATGTATAATTAAAAATTTTGTACAACTGACTTCAATACAAAAAAAAAATTAGCACATCATCATTGTAGTCGAAGTCAATTAAATGCGCATTATTATGAATAACTCAAAAACTACTGGTCATATTTTGATCAAATTTATATGGGACCACATGAGAAGCGCACCAGCTTTCAAATAAAAAAATAATCATCAATAACACACAAAAAAATTACAGTCGAATTGAGTACCTCCTCCTTATTTGAAGTCGGCTAAAAATGAGAAGTTCCATTCATTCCGTTTCCTGCATTCTTTTCGTTTATAAATTTTAAAGTTTAATTTGAACGTCAAAATAACCTTAAAGTAGCATTTAGAATTGGAACGTCGTTATGAAAAACCTCATCCCCTATTTTGTCTAGACAAAAACCGTTAGGCGTGGATTTTTTCTTTAAATTGAAATTGCACCAAGCTATAATAATGACAATATCGCGTAATATACATATAAGATTTTTTTTATCTTCTTTTTATTAGAAGTGACAAATCAAATGAACTATATTATTATTACGATATTATATTAGTGTTGCTCTGTTTTTTATTTCATTCGTTATACGAGGGCGACATTGAAAGTTCTTAGAAAATTAAAAACTGAACAAACTAGCAAGTTATTAGTTTTATTTATATCTTTTCAAAATAGTGTCCATTTAACAGAAACAGAAACGTTTTTTATTCAATATAGATTATAAATAATACTTATTGAAGGTCACTCTTTTGTTTAATTACCACTGGTTCGAAAAAAAACCTCTATCCTGGGAAGAACCAGCAAGAAACACAGCGGGACTTTTTTTTAAATAACAGCTTACAATAATGTTTGTTACACAATTAACACCTATAAATTCTTAAATATTATAATAATCCTTTTTATACAAACTTAGTTTAAAAATTTTTTGAACTTTGAGTAGTTCAAATTTTGTATATTTTCTGGAGTTTTGTTGTAAAAGCATGTACATCGCCCCAACAATGAATTGCTGACTCGACGGAGTCGAGTAACTGGTACTACTAGCTTCTGTCTGTTCCTAGTACATCAATACACCTTTACATCAATACATCGCTGCATCCGATGGAACCACTGAGAAAAGCACTTTGCTCACTCATCCTCACGACGGCATTTTAAAACGCAGCCACTGCTTCCTCGGCGTCCATAAAACGTTTTTCTCGAATTTTTTCTTTTAGTTTCGGAAATAAATAAAAATTGCAAGGTGCGAGGTCGGGGCTATAGGGCGGGCGACCCAGTAATTCCACGTCTGACGTCGCTAAGTAGTCGATTTGCCATTTGTCGATTGCTTGGCGGTGTGCGACGAGGCGTTGTCGTGGTGAAGGAGGATCCTACTGTGAGGTTGTTTCTCCCGAACTTTTTCCAAGACAAGTGGCAAACAATTTAGGGTAGTAGTTAGTGTACCACTCTGCAGTAACTGTTTTTCGATCCTCTAAAACAATTGTTACATAATGACCTGTTCTTCCGAAGAACGAGACCGACATCTTTTTTCCCACGCTTGGACTTCTCTTCACTTTAGTTGGCAACTCCTCGGAAGGAAACACCCAGACAGCAGACTGTCTCTTAATTTCAGGATTATAACAATAAATCCAGCTTTCGTCACCCGTAAGTATGTCGAACTTAGGAATGAGGATATCCGCAGTAGAACCAGAGTGACCGACATAGCCCAACGGATTAGTAAGCTGAAGTGGCAGTGGGCCGGCCATATAGCTCGAAGAACCGACAACCGATGGGGAAGAAAGGTTCTCGAGTGGCAGCCTCGTACCGGTAGGCGAAGTGTAGGGCGTCCCCCCACGAGATGGAGTGACGACCTGGTAAGACATGCAGGAAGTCGATGGATGCAGGTGGCTCAGGACCGTGTTTTGTGGCATTCTTTGGGGGAGGCCTATGTTCAGCAGTGGACTTGTGAAGGGCTGTAATGATGATGATGATGAAGTATGTCGAACACAGCATTTGAGTCACCTCCGTTAAATCTTTGAATCATTTCACGACACCAATCAACACGACGGAGTTTTTAGGCCTCTGTCAAATTATGAGGTATCCACCGGGCACAAAGCTTCCTGACCGCAAAATTTTCATGGAGCATTTTGTGTACTTCACTCATATCGATGCCTAAGCTTGTCCGAATCTGCTGATAAGTCACTCTTTTGTCAGTCTCTATCATACGCTGCACAACACTGATGTTATCTTCAGTCGTCACCGTAGAAGGCCGTCCCTCACGCAGATCATCGGTGAGATTAGTGCGACCACGTTTAAACTCATTAAACCAGTTGTAAACAGTGGCATGAGATGGAGCTTCATCGTGAAAGTCCAATCGAAGTCTATCATAACTTTCTTGTTGACTTAAATGACATCGAAAGTCATAAAAAATCATTGTACGAAAATTTTCTCGCGTTAAATTCATGCTGACGTGACACAGACAATTTTCAATTTACCGCCAAATCGTAGACAAATGACAAATTAATAAAATACATACACAATAATATTGGCAAAGAGTTCCATTTTCAAAATTTGAACTTATTTTTTTATTATATCATTTACAAGAGGCCAGTTCTAAAAACTTTCAGTGTCGCCCTCGTAAGTACCATTACGCATACGCAACTAAAATAATACACAGTAGTATAACGCTGCTAAATACATTTTCTATGCATACATACAAAAGATACAGTTGAATTAACTACTTTTACTACTATTTAGAAGTCTGGTATAAATAATTAATTGGTATATTTTGTTCGCAGATAAGGACCCTGAGTCATTCTCGTGGGTTTGCTACCTGGCTGATACGAGGTCGACGGCGGCGCCCCCGCGCGCCTTCAAACCTCGCGCTCCGCAGGGCTTCAGGCCCGCCATGAAGCTCGAGGTGGTGGATCCGAGGGTAAGCACCTTTGTTCCATCTTCACAGGTCTGACGAAGTTGACAGGCGCCTTAAAGAAACCTATAGTAACAAATTACGCATTGCATGAAGTTTTTACGCGGTGCGAATATACTACTTTTAGGGTTCCGTACCTCAAAAGCAAAAAACGGAACCCTTATAGGATCACTTTGTTGTCCGTCTGTCTGTCTGTCAAGACCCTTTTTCTCAGGAACACTTGTAGCTATCAAGCTGAAATTCATATCAAATACTCAAGTCTACTGTCCCTTGGAGCTGTGAAAAAATCAAACTTCTAAGCCAACGCAATGAAAAGATACAGCCGTTTATGCCGCAAATTTTCGACATTCGCAAGGGAATCAAAACCTACAGGGTACTTCACGTGAACTCAGAATCTTAAAATTTGGTACGAAGCAAAAGCATAAATTTTTAGTTACATCATATAATAAAAGTATTTATAATAATTTTAAACTTATACACCTTCGGATTTGTTCGGAACCCTCGGTGCGCGAGTTCGACTCGCACTTGGCCGGTTTTTTTTAAGAATAAGGGTGACAAGCGACCACACAGTCCACCTAATAGTAAGTGAATTCTGTGGCCCATAGCCAGCCACATTTATGTTAGAGTAATATCTTATGGAATTTTGCTATGTGGTAATGCGACTGACATCGAATCCATATTTGTTTTGCAAAAGAGAGCCAGCCGTACGGGCGATTTATAACTTAAATTGTAGTCACATAGAGAAACATTTAAAGAAGTAAACATATAAACTTTGGCATCGCAATATATTTCTGAAAATGTATGTACAAAAAACAGATAGCTTTGATAAGTATAAAGATGTTCATAATTTAAACACTACGAGAAAGTACTTTCAATAAGTATTAGTAAGGTTAAGTAATTAAATCTTTAAAAACAATTCTCAGCATCTACACAAGTTTTTATGTGTCTAAAACGATTTTTGAAACACTATCCTGTTCGCCTTACACACTTCATCTACGGCTGATAACGCATTTTTTTTATAGAATTAGGTTGACAAACGAGCACACCGTCCACCTGATGGTAAGTAGATGCTGTTACATATACACATCTACATCTATTCTCGATTAACAATCAAAATGCAGTTGCTTACACCCCTGAGGGCTAAGATGGAATGCCTCATATCAAGTAAAGAGTCTCCGGCTCTCTACACTCACCATACGAAACAGAGGAGTATTAAGCTGGTATTCTGTGTGAGCGTCGTCCGTTACCGGTCGAGCCGACCCATTCGTGCTACTACTATAATATAGCTGTAGCATGGCTCTACTACGTAATCTATTCTTACGGCGATGAAAACTGTATCACTTTCAGGTATTATCTTTATTTTTTTATATTTTTTTAAGAGGATTAAATGAAATCATATGGTGATAAATTAGGACATTTATTATTGGGAGGGTAATCCAAAAGCTTAAGCGGTGTGCTGTTCATGTATGTAGTCCTCGTTTTGACTGCCTATTGGGCGGGCGCGTTGCATTAGGGAATTAGTAGCCTACGGAACCCCGTGTTTGGTCACTTGTTTCGCAAGCATTTGGTAGTACCATTAGGCACCGGTGCTACTTCGATTTCGTGAAGGAGTTGACACCACATATCCCGTCAAAGTAAAGAGAAAATAGCGTAATAGCGATCAAAATTTTCCGCGCGCTTCTCGATCTCAGAAACAGAAACAGAAACTTTTTTATTCAATATAGATTATAAATAGTACTTATTGAAAGTCACTCTTTTGTTTGATTACCACTGGTTCGGAAAAAACCTCTGTCCTGGGAAGAACCAGCAAGAAACCCAGCGGGACTTTTTTTTTAAATAACAGCTTACAATCATGATGTTACACAAATTTGTTAATTTTTTAAACACAACAAATTAGAAATAGCTTGGTAGCGATCACCTCATTTCCAGGGGTTATTATCATCCATAAATTCCTTAATATTATAATAACCCTTTTTATACAAACTTAGTTTAATAAAGTTTTTGAACTTTGAACAGGTCAAACTTTGTATATTTTCTGGAATTTTGTTGTAAAAGCGTATACATCGCCCCAAGAATGAATTACTGTACTGAATGAGTAACTGGTACTACTAGCTTGTGTCTGTTCCTAGTATTTACAGAATGAATATCACTTATTTTTGTAAAACTACTTTTATTTTTGTGTACGTACATTACATTTTCATAAATGTATTGAGAGGCCAAAGTTAATATATTAATTTCCTTAAATTTTTGTCGCAGCGACTCTTTAGGCTGTAATCATAAATTGCTCTTATGGCCCTCTTCTGCAAAACAAATATAATTTCAGTGTCAGCTGCGTGTCCCCATAGCACAAAATACCATACGACATTATGCTATGGAAGTAGCTGAAGTAAACTAGTCTAGCTGTTTCAACACTGGTTAGACTTCTAATCTTTTTTACAGCATATGCTGCAGAACTAAGTCTGCTTGCTAGTTTTGATATATGGGGGCTCCATTGAAGCTTCGCGTCTAGTGTGATTCCAAGAAAAATGGTGGTATATACAAGACTCAGTTTCTCCCCATTTAAAATTACATTAGTATTTAATTGTTTGACATTTGGAGTCCCGAATTTCATACATTTTGTTTTAGTGCCATTTAAATGCAAATTATTAATATCGAACCAATTTACTAATTTAGATATAGCATTATTTACTTCGTCATATTTTAGTAACTGTCGACTTAATTTGAAAATTAAAGAAGTGTCATCTGCAAATAATACTATATCATGGTTATCCCCTACTATGTAAGGTAAGTCATTAATGTATACAAGAAACAGAAAGGGGCCGAGAATTGAGCCTTGAGGCACGCCCATTTTTACCATCGATCCGGAAGAGCTCATATTGTTAATGACAACTTTTTGCGTTCTCTTACTTAAATATGAAATAATTAATTTAAGGGCTTCACTTCTTACACCGTAGTGTTGAAGTTTCCTGATTAATGTTTCATGGTGAACACAATCGAAGGCCTTGGATAGGTCACAAAATATACCCAAAGCATCCTGTGAATTCTCCCATGCATTAAAGATATATTTAATCAGCTCAACACCGGCATCAGTTGTCGAGCGACCCCTTGTGAAACCAAATTGATTTTTATGAAGTAAATTATTTATATTAAAAAAATTTAACATTTGATCAAGAACAATTTTTTCAAAAATCTTACTAAGTGTTGGTAGTACAGAAATAGGTCTAAAATTGGCGGGGTCTAATGTACTACCAGATTTAAATAAAGGTATTACTTTACTATGCTTCATTAAATCAGAAAACACACCAGATCCTTTGTGGTAGGCGTTGGTTAATTTTTAATACCTGAACCGCTGACTAGCGCTTTGTTTCTGGGTCGTATTCATAAATCTTCACCTGTATTAAGTAATGTAAAATGACCGTGCAGTGGCGGTGTAAGAATATCCACTACCCCATACCGCCCGTCCCGTAGGTATCGCACGAGGCGATAAAGGAAAAGAGGTTTTTATACGTGGTGGAGCCATGCTGCAGCTATATTAATAGTATAGTTGTAACACGAATGGGTCGGCTCGACCGGGAAAAGACCACATTCGAAAAATAGCAGCTTAATGCCTCTGTGTTTCGTATGGTGTGTGTAGAGAACCGGAGACCCCTTTTACTGGAAAAGAGGTATTCTATCTTAGTCCTCACAGTTGACAACGCATCTGCATTTTAATTCGCAAACGAAGATAGATGTAGATGTCTATGGGCCACAGCAACCACTTACCATCATCTGTGCTCGTTTGTCACCCTTATTCTATAAAAAAAGGGAAATGCAATTATGGCAAAATCCCTCCTATGCGGCAATCAACGGAGGAGGCCTATGTTCAGCAATAGACTTTTATAGGCTGTAAAAATGTAATGGATGGATGGAAAATGTTAATGTCACATGCCGAGACGAACGTGCTTCAAATTTAGTATACTCACTGCACCATTCCATGAGGGCCTACTTCTGTACATCGGTAACGCTGTGCAGTAAACAATCATCATCATCATTACAGCCTTTCATAAGTTCACTGCTGAACATAAGCCTCCCCCAAGGAATGCCACAAAGCACGGTCCTGAGCCACCTGCATCCATCGACTTCCTGCATGTCTTACCAGGTGGTCACTCCATCTCGTGGGGGGTCGCCCTACACTTCGCCTACTGGTACGAGGCTGCCACTCAAGAACCTTTCTTCCCCATCGGTTGTCGGTTCTTCGAGCTATATGGCCGGCCCACTGCCACTTCAGCTTACTAATCCGTTGGGCTATGTCAGTCACTCTGGTTCTACTGCGGATATCCTCATTTCTAAGTTTATCACGCAGAGAAACTCCGAGCATAGCCCTCTCCATAGCTCGCTGAGCGACCTTGAGCTTCCTCATACGGCCAGCAGTGAAGGACCACGTCTCAGATCCGTAAGTCATCACTGACAACACGCACTGGTTGTATAATTTCATTTTAAGGTTTTGAGGAATGTCTGACGAGAAGATGTGTTGTAGTTTCCCGAACGCTGCCCAGCCGAGTTGAATCCGTCGATTGACCTCTCGGTTGAAGTTAGACTTACCTAGTCGGACTATTTGTCCCAGGTAAACATACTCGTCAACAACTTCGAGCTTAGTGCTCCCAACAACTGCCGGCATAGGTGTGACATGGACATTGAACTTAATCTTTGTTTTGTCCACGTTCATCTTAAGATCTATCCGTTGGGAGACACTATTGAGGTCATTGAGCATGGTGCTTAGATCCTCCAGCGATTCTGCCATAAGGACTATATCGTCGGCAAATGGAAGGTGAATGATGTACTCGCCATTGATGTTAATACCGTATCCTTTCCAGTCCAGAAGCTTGATAACGTCTTCCAATGCAGCGGTGAAGAGTTTCGGGGATATAACGTCACCCTGTCTTACACCTCTCTGCAATTAGATAGGTTTCGTACTCTGATTCTGTACTCGGATAGCTATCGTAGCCCTACTGTACATACACTTCAGCACTTCGATATACCGGCAGTCAACTTGGCACCGCTGAAGGGACTGCAGCATCGCCCAAATTTCGACGGAATCAAAGGCTTTCTCATAGTCCATATACGCCAGACAGTGGCAAATTGTACTCCTCGGACTTCTGTACAACTTGCCGAAGGGTATGTATGTGGTCTATGGTGCTAAAGTCCTTTCGGAAACCGGCTTGTTCGGGAGGCTGGAAGTCGTCAAGTCTGCGCGCGAGACGATTCGTAATGACTCTCGAAAACAGCACGTAGACGCGGCTCAGAAGGGAAATCGGTCTTTAGTTCTTCAAGAGAGCGTTGTCACCTTTCTTGAAGAACAAGACCACCGCACTTCTGCTCCACGCCTCCGGTGTAATGCCACCATGGAGGACGGAATTAAAGAGCTTCTGAAGGACTTCAAGTACCGGTTTTCCACAAGCAGTATTGAAGTTGCGTAAGTCCCGCCGCATGCATTTGGAGATATGTGTTCAGTTGCCTGTATGCTGTCAAATGTGTTGAAGAATGTAGCTTCATCTCCCGTCTAACAGCCATGAGATTAAGAGTGTGATCGGAGAGTTTTTGTGTTCTTCTGCGGTGGATCTTGCAGAACTTAGCTCCGACCGCATGGACAGTTTCCACGAGCTTGTCATTCATATCGTCCACTTCATTGCAGTTTTCTAGGCACTGAAAACGGTTTTGTAACTCGAGCTGAAAGGTTTCGGGACTTTGGAACAGAGCACGAGGGGGACGGAGCGTTGACTTCATTAGACGAGACCTCGCCAACTTAACGTTTAGGTTCAGTGTGCCTCTAACCATTCGGTGATCGCTACCAATTTTCACCCTCGCGATCACGGAGACATCACTGAACAGTGATCGTCATAATGAAGTCAATCTCAATTTTTGTCGAACCGTCGGGGCTCGACCAGGTCCACTTCCTGTGGGGCCGCTTCTGGAAGAAAGAGTTCACCATAAAGAGTCCCTCTTTCTCCATGAAGTCGGCCAGCTGCTGGCCCCTTGGGTTACGTTGTCCTATTCCAAATTTCCCTAATTTCAGCTCACCGTTCTCTCTTGTGCCTAGTTTTGCATTGAAGTCTCCCATTAACACCGTATATTGCGTTTTGGAGGAATGCATGGCTCTAGAGATATTCTCATACATTTCCTCCACCTCCTCATCGGGGTGTGCCGAGGTTGGTGCGTAAACCTGTATGACCTTCAGCGGATACCGTTTGGTGATTCTGAGTTTAAGGTACGCAACCCCCGTCGACACACTCTCGATCTTTACAACGTTGTTAACGAGAGACTTGTGGACGATAAGTCCGACACCTCCTTGGGACAGATGGTCGCCCTCCCGGTGATAGAGCAAGTTGCCGGATTCGAGGATTACCGTGTCCTCCCCCTCTCTTCGGACTTCGGATAATCCTATAATATGCCAGCGTAACTTGTCTATCTCTTCTTCCAGCTCCAGGATCTTCTCGTCAGTCCTCAGGGTGCGTGCGTTGTATGTTGCCAGGTCAAGTCGTCTTAGGTGGCAACCGAACCTCCACCAGAGATTCTTAGCACCCCCTGCCCCGCCGTTACCATGGTCGGCACCGTAGCCAGGAATAGCGGGGCCGCCGGGGACTGGGGCCTTCTCTTTGTTACACTCTTCATAGGGGGGTATTTGCCATAGTTGTCTCGCTTGGCGAGCGGGTTGGCAACCGCAGTTTTTCTTTTTTATTGTAATTACGGCTACTATCAGGAAGATGCTGCTGCCCATCTCCTGCCTGTTTTCCTTTGTCGCCTTGTACGACACCCACGGGAAGATATGGGGTAGTGGATATTCTTGACCGCCACTACACGGCTAAACAATCCTCACGCGATATTCAAATTTCATGATGGCTTCCGATACAATTTACAATATAAGCTGAATATGAAGATATATGCAAGACAAATATATGAAATGAATATTTTTGCACTCTGCAGTCGAACCAAATAGTGTAAATGAATGCTAATTATAATCGTTGTATTCTAATTTTATTATTTTACTTTGTACTTAAAACTTTTTTTTACATTATTTACCTTAGATTATAAAGAAAACTGTCATTTTATTTTGTTATCACTTTGTTTGTGTGTCGTGCCGTTTGAATTAAGCTGTGTAACATTGTGAACATTTCTCATGTAAGTGAATTATAATTCTATTGAGAAATAAATATCTTAAACCACAAATAGATAAGAGAAGATATTTATAAAGAGAATACGTCTTCTCTTCCATTTTTCACTGCTAACACGTTTCCTTTCGTAACTGACATTAAAGGGCGACCACTTCTTTCTACATCCCTCAAAGTTAGTCGACTGTGCTGGATTTGTCATATCCGATCATATGCTATCATCGATTGCCTTAGGGTTGAAGTCTATATATGATTAAATATAATAGAAAAATGTGGAGGGAAGTTTTAAATTAGAATATTCTTATTTTAACTGCTAAATAATCGTATTTTTAAAATAAATTATAACCGAGTCTCATCCAAATAACTTTTTATTTCGCAAAACTTTGTGTGACCTGTCGTATTGGTTGGTGCATCTGTTATTAATTGTGTAACTTCTAAACGGTTTGACCGATCAAGGTCATTTTCACACAATATATTTGTTTTGATCTCATCAAAACAACAACTAAAATCCGATAGGTGACGTACTCAAGTTACTAACAATTTTTATTATTGGCTGAATTTTGAGTGAAACTTATTGCGCCACCTTCCGGAAAGGGCAGAATAACGTCTACCGGGCTAGGATGATATATATTTACATGACCATGATATCAATAGCGTGGGGTTATGCGGCAATCAGTATATGTGGCGATTCAGATGTTTTGCAACTCTGACATGCATCCCTATTCTGTTCTATCGCTTTTATATCTCATATAATTATTCAGAGATTATCTAAGAGACACTTTATTACATATTATAATGACTACAATGAAATTTTTCATACACAAAAGTTTTTGTAGGACGGACCTTACAACATGTATTTTATATCTTATGTTACAAGCATATGTTTTTATTCTGTGTTTTATATTGTCCATTTCTACCAACTTCAAAAAAGAGGGGGTACTCAATTCGACTGTGTTTTTTAATGTGTTACCTCAACTTTGTTTTACGTGAACCGATTTCGATGATTCTTTTTTTATTTGAAAGCTGGTGCTTCTCATGTCCCTCAATCCCCTCCTCAATTTGATCAAGATCTGGCCAATAGTTTTTGAGTTATCCTTAATAATATATATTGAAGTCGGTTGTACAATTTTTTTATTTTAAACTAGCTGTTCCCCGCGACTTCGCTCGCGTTTTTATGTTTTTGCGCGGAACCATAATTCTTTTTCTAAAGTAAAAGTAGCCTAAGTTACTCCTTATGAAATCAGCTACCTGCTAGCGAAAGTCCCATCAAAATCGGTCCAGCCGTTTCGGAGATTAGCCGGAACAAACAGACAGATAGACACACAAAAATTTTAAAAATTGTGTTTTTGTTATAAGTACCGTATATACTTTCATATACAATTAGTAAAATGCTGTAATTTTGACATAACAAACAGACACTTCAATTTTATTTATTTGTATAGATTAATTATCTGTTATTTTGTATCTAAAGTATGTGGATTTTGTACATGAATAAATAAAAAAGCATCCTATAACATCATACAGCTTAATGTTAACTTAAAAACAATTTATAAAAGCTTTTAGAAAAATTTACTTCGCAAATATCCGTGTTATAAAATAAAATGATGTGTCTTACCTAGTATGAAGAGCACCTCCCGCCACAAATCATTTTATTTTATAACGCGGATATTTGCGAAGTAAATTTTTCTAAAAGCTTTTATATAATGGATTTCCGCAAAGTAACGCCTGATTCTATTAATTATAAAAACAATTTATTCCAACCGGCCTGTAATATTGAAATTCTAAATAGGGAATACTTTAAGATTGATACTGCCAACTGATTTGAAGTTCTAAACGGAACGCTATGGAAAACATGATTATGGCATGTCTTCTTAGAGTGGGTGGCGTACTTCAATTTCGATTTCGTTTTGAGTAAATTTTTAACGAAGGATTATTATGTTTATGTAACCATCTCTTGGGACATCCACACGACGAATAAAATAATTTTATAGCTATAAGAAAGACATTTTGAAAGTTGTATACATTTGAAAATCGAATTAATGAATAAACAAAGTTTGTTTTCATATTAATATATTCATTTGCGCGGTTATTAAAAAAAGGTACTCACTATAATTTTTTTTATAGGATTAGGGTAACAAACGAGCACAGTCCACTTGATGGTAAGTCGTTGCTGTGGCACATAGACATCTACATCTATACTCGATTATGAAGCAAAATGCAGATGTATTTTCTACACCATACGAAACCCAGCAGTGTTAAGCTGCTATTTTACGCTGGTATTCTGTGAGACCATGGTCCTTCCCCGATTGAGACAACTCATTCGTGCTACAACTATACCAGTAATGTGGTTGCAGCATGGCTCTACCACGTAAAAAAAATCCGAATATTAGTCTTTTCTTAAACTAATTGGGAATACCGGCAAAATGCAACCACCGGTTAACGATTCTTACCAGAGTTACGTTGCTGTGTATATGGCAAGGTTGGAAAAGTTAACGTTCGAAGTAGGTGCTAGTGAAATGTTACAAGTGAATGGAAATGTTTGTATCAGGTGCCGTTCCTGATCCGCGTGGCTACGATCGCCGAGGTGAAAGGCCACCAGGTGCGCGTAACGTTCGACGGCTGGCCTGAGGAGCTGTCCTGCTGGCTCGACGACGACTCGCCCGATCTTCATCCGGTCGGCTGGTGCCTGAAGACCGGACATCCATTGGAACCGCCCTTGAGTAAATATTCACTTTAGTACTGCACAAGTTTAACTGCTTCGTTATTAGACGCGAATCTCTTAGTAGATTTTATGCTTGATGTAGTTATTTATGTGACATTTGAAATGGTTGTAGTGAAGTTAAAGCATATGTGCCATGTTTTTCCGTGGCAATCTCATTTGTATGTTCAATTTTTTGTTACAAAATGTTGGATGGAAAACACCGAAACAAGAGTATTTTGTAGAGATTCTGCGCTTGTCAACCAACGCGTTGTAGGATTAGGATTCAAGAAATTCGCTAAGTGACTTATTCTTGGAAACGCTATTAATGGATAATGATTTCTTATATTTACGCGAAGACTACACAATAAATGAAACTAATATTTACGGATTTTGTCGCGTTTAATTTAACTTTTTAATTTCCGACGTTTCGGGTGCTTTCCAGCACCCATGGTCACGGGGGGGACTGAGGTGTTTGACTTCCCGATGTCATAGTTAGCCCGGCTACCTTCACTTTTTGAATATTAACTTTTGGTCCGATCTACGCAGAATGAGCTTACAGTATCTTGAAGTCTTGCAGTGGTATGCTTGGGTTTGGATTTAATTTTATTAATTATAGGATCCCAAGCAAATGGCAGCACCCGTCCATCTTCCCTATTGAAATTAGGATGTTTTTTTTTTAATTTCGATAGCCTCGCGAATCATCCTTGGTAGGAATCGGTGTTCTTTTGCGAGGATTTGTGGTTTATCAAATCTGATGTAATGGCGGGGACGATCTACAACATGTTCACACACTGCAGACTTCCCGGAACGTCGGTGCTTCGAGTCAGCTATATGTTCTTTTACGCGGGTTTTAATAGATCTTTTTGTTTGTCCTATGTAAGAGAGACCACATTCACAATCCAGCTTGTACACTCCTGCATCTTGTAGAGGAATATGACACTTGACGGATGGTAAAAATTGACCAGTCTTCTTCAGCGGCTTAAAGTATGTTTTAATGGAAGCTCGCTTCAAGATGTAGCCAACCTTGTCTGTGACTCCTCTGACATAAGGTAGTTCAGCAGGCACACGCTCGACTGTGGCCGGCTTCACTCGGTCACTGTGACGTAGGCGCGGGACCCAAAGCTTATTGTCTTGCAATACTTGCTCGACATGCTCAAGCTCGGCGGCCAGATGTTTTATGTCACAGATCCCTCGGGCTCTCTGAAACAAAGATTTTCTCACGGTAGCTAACTGATCTCAGGATGATAGTGCGATTCACCATTTAAATATCGGTTGGTATGGGTCTTTTTTCTATACTCACTGTGATCAATAGTGTTATCAGGATTTCGGATGACTAAAACATCTAGGAAAGCTAAAGAATTGTTTGCCTCTAACTCCATTGTGAATTGTATTTTAGAGTTTATGGAATTAAGGTGGTCTAAAAATGCAGTTACTTTGTCAGATGGTAAAATTGTGAAAGTATCGTCTACGTACCGCTTGTAGAATCTTGGATTTACAGGAGCAGTAAGAAGGGCTTTTTCCTCAAAGTCCTCCATGAATATGTCGGCGTTTACGGGAGATACAGGCGAGCCCATCGCCGCACCATCTACTTGCTTGTAGAATTCTTCCTTCCACAATAGATAGCCAGATGTGAGGCAGTGTTTGAGTAATACTGCATATTCTGTGGGCATGTTGTTATCTTCTTGCTTCCTAGTTACAATTGAGATGCAGTCTTCAATTGGTAAGCATGTGAATAGTGACTGAACATCAAAACTGGCGATAGTTTCATTGTCAGCAAGATGTAGGTCTTTTATCTCACTAACAAAATGGCAGAAATCCTTTGTGTGTGCTCTGGTGTGTCCTCTTATTGGTGACAATATTTTTGTCAAATGTTGAGCCAACTTATAAGTTGGTGAATCGATCTGGCTTATTATGGGACGTAGTGGAGCGTTTGGTTTGTGTATTTTCGATAACCTATACAACCTCGGTGGTTTGGCATATGATGGTATTGTCAAATTCACGTCGAGATTTAATTTTTAGAGTATTTCTTTATTAAGTCGGTAGTTGTTTTGAGTGTATTAGTTGTAGGGTCTATTTTGACCTTTTTGTATGTACTTATGTCCGATAAAAGTTGTTTTATTTTGAAATTATACTCTGACGTGTCCATTATTACGTGACCACGGGTGCTGAAAAGCATTCGAAACGTTGGGAATTAAAAAGTTTAATTAAACGCCTCAAAATCCGTAAAGATTAGTTTCATTTAATGCTATTAATGGATATCATTTTTGGGGTATCAATGACACATGAATGCATGAATAAATGTTATTCTACTACCAGCCTAAGGTGTGAATAGCCACAGAAGAAGCTTTAATTGCGCCGTTGAAGTTCTCCTAACTACTTGGCTATTATAATGGAAACGTCACATAGTACTCTGAGCATTGGCGGCTTCCCGGGCTGAACACCATGCCCGGCGGGAGCTGTCCCTTTTTGTTTCGACGGCCAATATAATAAGGAGTGATGTTTGTCGCAGCGGTGGAGGAGCTGCGCGTGAGCGGGCCGTGCGGGGTGGGCGGGTGCCGCGGGCTGGGCTCGGTGCGCGGCGGCGCGCACAAGCAGCACGCCGCCGCCTCCACCTGCCCGTACCGCGCGCGCGCCGCCGACCCGCCCGACCGCCTCGCCAGGTACACACATATACGCACGCACACGTTCACAAGCACACACACACACGCACGCACACACACGCACGCACACGTACACAAACATACACACGCAGGCATACGTACACACACGCACGCACTCGTATAAGTACGCACGCAAGCATGCACGTGTCTTTACGTACACATACTTATACTAACGCACAAGCGCGCGCGAATTAATGTCTTTTATTAATACAATAGACACCCATACTGATGTAACCTTAATAATCGTGAATACAATGCAGCATCTTAAAACTAATGACTGCTGAAAGTAGAGTGATATCTGCTTCTCAATATATAATTTTTCATTACAGGGTACCAAATAAAACACTAAAACCTTCGATAGAGATCAGCACGCCGACCAGCGACACTACTAAAGAAAAGTTTGTGTTCTTTCTTTTTTCTCATTTTTATTGTAAATAGTTATGACAAACAAGCACACAGTCCACCTGATGGTATGGGGATACTGTGGTCCATAGACATCTACATCTGTCCTCGATTAAGAATTAAAAAATAAGGACGCGTTGTCACCCCTAAGGACTAAGCTGAAATGCCTAGTTTCCAGTAAAAAGGATCTCCTTATCTCGTAACTCATCATACGAAATGCAGCAACATATAGCTATTATTTCACGCTGATATTTTCCTTCCTGCTGACCAAGCTGACCAATTCGTGCTACATCCATAATATAGCTGCAGCGTGGCTTTACCACGTAAAACATTATTTTTTATAAGTCATTCTATAAACGGGGTGTATAGTGTTATAAATATAATAGATATTACATACTCGTTATTTGGTAATACTTTTTGTGCAGTATCTCAATACAATTTTTTTTAAAATTACAAATTGTATGACGAAAATATAATATTCTAAGCGTATCTAAACGTTGGACTTGGTATCTAAGGGGCTCTCGATGTAAATTTCACAGTACATCTTTGATTACCTACGGCACAAATGAAATTCTTAATGATTGTAATTTAAAGTGCAAACTTACCACATGCTCATCCTTGAAAGAACATATCATGAGGAAACTTGCATCTGTCATCTATTATCTGCATCCTATAGCTTACAGTATCATGAAGTCAATATGAAGAACTATTTATTTATTACTTTTTGATAATTTACAATAAGTCAATTCACGTAAAATCTATACATATAATAAAACTGTAAATAGCAGATGTCTGTACATTTTATATTTTTGTAATAAAAGTGATTGAGGGGTACTAAAAATAAGTAATTAAATACATTTCTACCATTTTTAGAATTTTCTGTCTGTCTGTCTGTCTGTCTGTCTGTCTGTTTGTTTGTTAACGTATCACGTATAAAGTACTAATTTATATCATAAGAATTGTTAAGGAAATTATAAAGTGTATCTTCGGGTTACATTTAGTCTTTATTTCATTAAAATCAGTTCATTCCATCAAAAGTTATGATAAATATTCTGAAGTATGGGTAGGGAAGTATAGGTACGAATTTGCTCAACGGTGGCTTTGTTTGAGTCATCAAGTGCATTTTAAACTAATATCATATCATAAATCATAGTTAAATTATGTAAAATAATGATATAATTATGTATATCTAAAACGCAGTAAACAAAAGTATTAAAGAACGTATTAAATATATTATACAAAAATATATTAACCTTATTAACTAAATCTGAAGCACAATAGTTAACCCATTTCTTCGATAGATGGTGGTGTGGCATAAATGTGATACAAAAAGGCAGGTTAAAATTTATTCCTGTAGTTGAGTTTCATATTTGCTTCTAACCTTTATATTAGTGACACGCTGCCCTACTGCGTGTTGACAATCTCATTTATTTTTTATTTTTTTACCGCCGAGTACTCTATGTGGTAAATCAAATTTTAAGAGCTATTAACAATTTCATTTTTCGGCGAGGATAAAACTTTCTTTTTTGCTTACTATGCAGGCACTGATTTATAAGTTCTTTTATGTTTTTTATTCTATCAATCGTGTGAATTAATCTCTTATTTTTAGAATTGATGTTAACAGCGCCATCTCTCTTAAATCTATACATATAATAAAAATGGTAATAACATGTTATGTCTGTTTCTGAATATTGTATAGTATATTAATTTGCGACTAAAATCATTATTGGGACTGTAAATCATTAAATAAGTACATTTTTATAATTTTTAGAATTGTACTATCTGACGGTCTGTCTGTTTGTTTATGGACGCATGACGTTTTGAGTAAACATCTTTTTTTTTCAATGAAATCCTTAAGAAAATCATAAAGCGTATTATCAAGTTCATTTAATCTTTGTTTTATTGAAATTGGTTAATTCTATCGAAAGTCATGATTATTATTTTGAAATGTAGGTTCGAATTTGCTTAATGGCGCCACAAAATCCCAAAAATAGTAATAAAAAGATTCGTGTGTAAAAAAAACGTTCTATTATAATATATTTCGTATCGTTCTATTATAGTACTTAAAACACAGTAAAAATATGTTTTCCTTAAATTAAAAAAGGATGTTTTCTCACAAAGAACGTAATAGATGGCGTTGTACAAATTACAACCTTTTCTGAATTGCGGTGTTAAGATTTTTCGCAGGTGAATCGTATTGATACTCACTGTAATAATTTATGACCATGAGCCTGACGAAGCTGTAAGCCTGTAAGGTATAGATACAGAGGTATTGAAATATTTAATTATTCAACAAAACTCGACTAAAACTAAAAGTAACAAAATTGCAATTAATGTCGTGATGGTGATATTGTTTTATAGCCAGAATCACTCTAATACCAAATAACTTTTTTTTCAGTTTTAAGTAAAGTAAAGTTGCAGCCTATTTACGTCCCACTGCTGGGCACAGGCCTCCTCTCATTTCTGAGAGGGTTTTAGGGCAAGGAAATGTCCACCGCGCTGCCCCAATACGTGTTGGCGAACTTCACATGTCATCGAAATATTTTTTTTTATTTCTCAAACATGCAGGTTTCCTCACGATTTTTTCCTTCACCGCCGAGCACGTGGTAAATCAGCACTTAAAATTGCATTTGACAATTTCATTGGTGCCGGCGGGGATCGAACCCGGGTTGCTCGAGTACTGTGAAGCTTACAGCGAGCGCTAACCATCTGAGCTACCACGGCTCAGGCTTCAGTTTTAAGATAGGGATAATAACATCGATGTTGGCATCGCTAGCTCAACATCGATGTTCGATGTTTAGGCCACTCAAAACATCGATGTTGACCATTATCGATGGTTTTTGTATATGTGTAGATAGTTACACATTGTTTTAAAATTATGTGGGTATACACAGCAAGGGAAAAGTAACAATTAACTTGAATATCAATTTACGTAGAATAGTTATTATGCGACAACCGACAACGACACTACAAAATAAAGCGAAAGCAGTGACCATTGTGACATTACAGGAGACACTTGACAATTAAGTTTGACTCACCATACTGACATTTTTTTAGATTAACGATGCGTTCAGAAATTCTGAATTATTCAAAATTTTTAATCTTCAGAGCAGATGCAAGATTTAGTTGATATTGATTTCGCGAGTTCGCATTGTTTGCAAGTTCCCAATTATCGATTATGGGTTCATTGACGTCGATGTTTCGATGTTTGACATATGTCAACATCGATGTTAAAACATCGAAGTTTTAATTTTTAACGTTGATGATCATCTAACATCCCTATTTTAAGTGTGTTTCCCACTCAGCGTGTGTTATGCGACGATCGTAAATAAAGCGCAAGGTTAAACTTTACGCGTCAGTACTGATTGTTTTGCACATGGCCAGCTCTATATTGCTTTTTCTCGCGTTAGTAGTCCCCGTAACCTTTTTCTGTACGCCCCGGCTAAGTCTACTTCTATCGTCGTTTACACAGAAGCTCTATCATAAACGACTTAGAACTTTGAGCATATCGATTTATTTTGTTACCACTTATTGATAGAGTAATGATATAAATCGGTTAATATTCTCTTACCCTAAACGTCAAATTCTTTAAGTAAAACCTATATACGCGAGCTACGCCGCGGGCACAGCTAGTAATGAATATAACAATTGGATGTTTTATTTGCAATGAATTGTTTTTTTTTTCAAATAATCATTTACTTAGTTAAATGAGTGATAAAAGATTATGATTTATCAATAAACTGTTTGTTTCAGATTACCACGTGGACGGCCGCCTAAACATAAACGGGTCGAACTTGCTAAAAATGAGCATGTAAGTATATTGATACTGTCTTATATACATAGCTTAAAGATCATACGTTTTTTTTAAGTTGTTTAAAAGAAATAAATTGTCATATTAGATGTTAAATTATATTTTGTTATATAAGACGGTGCAAACGAGCATACGGCTCACTTGATAATAAGTTACAACCGCCGCTCATGAACAACTACAATACCAAGGTAATTGCAGATGCGTTGCCGGCCTATTAAAAAAGATTAGGCTCTTTTCTTAAAGGTCCCTAAGTCGTATCGGTCCGGAAAATCCATCCATTTATCACTCACAGTCCGATGGGACTGTGAGTGTTGGAATAGAAAGAGGAACGGGCCTGTTACCTGACATGACCAAAGAGAGATCCGGCGCAGGACCAACGGCTTTACTTATTTTTCCTGGCACGGGGGTGAAACACCGCCAACTTCCGGACTTCGGGCTGTTATTGAGAATTTGTTGACATAAAAACCCAATAACTGATTTTGGCCCGACCCGGGATTCGAATTTAGGAGCTCATGATCAGCAACCGCGTTTACGAGCACAAGGAGGATGTTGGTAACAAGGTTATGTCCACAGGGGTCCGACGACGAGTCGCTGTCGAGCGGTGCGGGCGGGGTGAAGCGGTGGCGCGGCGGAGAGGGCGAGGGCGAGGGGGAGGGCGAGCGCACGCCGCCGCCGCCGCGCGCGCCGCTGGCCGCGCACGTGCAGCAGCTGCAGCTGCCGCCCGACCCCGTCGCCTGGACACAGGTTGGCTTTTTGAACTGAACACTTCTTTACTATCGTCGTTTCAAACTCCATCAAACTAAAAACAGACAAACACATACATCTATGGGATTTAACCTGCGAGAGAATGAGATAGAATAATCTCATGATTTCAGTATAGTGTTTCCTATTATCTCGGTCTCCTTTTCTGGAGATTTGACTTCTACTAAGTGTGAACTGCACACTTGTTTTTTTTTTAATATAATAATGGCTGAGAAACTATCAGGTGTTTTATATGTATACATATACTAGAAACCGAAAAACTTTATTAAATCGCAATTTTTCAATGATGATGACACTGTGCCACCATTTACGTAACAAATAAGTACACCTCAGTCCGAACTAGCGACATCTGGTCAACTTAAGTTTATCAGCTCTCATTAAAACAGTAGATGTACTTCCCCTGTGGCAGAAATACGTAAGAGGATGGAACCAATCTCAACGGTGTCCTGGACAGAAAAGTACTTCAACCACCTGCAGGCCTATTCACTAAACATCGACATCATGTTAAAAAAAATATTTATCACATAAGAACAATATACAATTTGCTTAACAGTGATAAATAATAAATACATAACGATCTAAATATTTAAAAAAAATTGCGATCAAAAACAAGTATAAATTAGGATAAGTAATTTAACAGGCGTCTTTTGAATAATGCAATAGTGCTACATTCTTTCACACAATTAGGCAGCTTGTTGTAAAGCTGCACTCGCTCAAACTTAATGCTTTTCCTTCCTATGTCAGTTCTATAGATAGGCAACACTAGCTTGTGTCTATTTCGAGTACAATATCCGTGTGATCTTTTGGAAAAAGTAGTTATTGAATGGGTTGATTTTAATAGTATTTTTTTTTTTACTAGTACACATGTACTGTATATATAAAATTTATTTATATTGAGTAGTTTAGTATTTTTATAGATTTTATCCGTTGGTGTTAAAAATTTAAAAATGGTAGTTAAATAGTACTTTAATAGCCTTATTTTGACTTCGCTGTAGTACATCTAGGTTGATTTTTGCAGCACTTCCCCATATTTGTATTACATATTCTAATTGCGGCTTTACAAGAGTATTATATATTAGTTTTTTAATTGATTGTGGGAAACATTTTGCTATTTTTCTTAAAATTTCTATTAAGGGTGTTAATTTAGATCGGATATTATCTATATGAGGTTTCCAGATCAATTTATTGTCTAGGATTAGGCCTAAGAATTTTTCTTCTTTAGACTTGTGTATGGGTATTCATTAGCTATAATTAGAGGTGGATGATCGGTGAGTTTCTTGTTTTAGCAGAAAAAATTATGTAAGAAGTTTTTGAAGTGTTAACTGTTAGCAAGTTATTTTGCAGCCACAAATTAATTTTATTAAAATCATGTTGGGCTTCATTAATGACAGACGCTGTTGTGTTACCAAAATAAAAAAGACTGGTATCATCCGCATAGTGTAATATGTCCTGTCAGACCTATTGTACTAATGTTATTCACATATATAAGGAACAACAATGGTCCTAATATAGACCCCTGCGGCACACCATAGACATTTGTTTTTTGGGTTAACATGGTTACATTTTTAAGTTTGTTAAGTAGCAATTTGTGGCTAACCATATCAAAGGCTATTTTAAGGTCGATAAATATGCCTAAAGCTATTTGTTTTTCGTCAATACTTTCCCTGATTTTAGTTACTAGATCAATGGTAGCACAAAATGTGTTAGACTTAGGCCGAAAACCGTACAAGAAAATTTATTTTGTTCAAATATTCATATAACCTGGAGTAAATAATTATTTCGAACAATTTAGAGACTACTGGTAGGACAGTTATTGGTCGATAATTGTTAGGATCATTCTTATCACCATTTTTATAAATTGGTGTTTGTTACCTTTGCTATCTTTAGGCTCTCTGGAAAGTGACTATTTTCCAGACACGTGTTAATGCAAGATTTTAGGTTGCCACTTATTAAGTTTTTAATACATTTTTATTACTTTTATTGAAATGGTATCTATTACCGAGCTAGTATTGCTATCTAAATTATCAATAATTTTTGTAATTTCTTGGTGTGTACATGGTCTAAAGCTATTAAGTTTATTAGTATTACCTTGAGAAATATCTGTTATTTTGTTTTGTTTTTGCATTATTTTATCTGCTAGAAAAGAACCTATAGATGAAATGAAATCATAAACGCGTTACAAACCTCGAATGCGTTAGTTATAATTTTAGAGTCTTTAATAAGCTTAGGGAGAGCGCAACTCTTTGATATTTTAATTGTAGCCATACTATTTATTGTAGTCCACATTTTTTTAAGTCTTTTTTGCATTTTTCAAAGACACTGCAGTAGTATTTTCTTTTCTCTTCTGTTATCATTCTATCGACCTTTACTCTTTCAGCTTTAAATTTCATTTCCAGTTGCGTGTTTGTAGGATCCATTTTGTGTTTATACCAAAATTCATTACGTTTATTGATGCTAGTTATTATATTTTTGTTAATTCAATCTTGCAGCGGGGGATTTGGAATTTTACTTTTGTCTATTTTATTTTTAATTAAGCTTTCAAGTACGGGATAGTTGTTGTAGCTGTGACTTAACTTTGATATATATTCCTGTACACTATTATAAAAAACTTCATAATCTAGATATTTATGTTTATATACTGTTCTTCCAGAATTTCAAAATCCAAATTATTGTTACGCGCCACTATTAATGTCTTGTACATGGCAACACTAGTTACACTAGCGCCCCCCTAGTGTCGAGTAAATGAAAGTATTGCGCGCCACTATTAATGTCTTGTACATGGCAACACTAGTCACACTAGCGCCCTCTAGTGTCGAGTAGCAGAACTAGGAGAGTCGAGATCCTTCCAGATATTTCGGGACCGATATGTACTCGAACATTCTAGATGTCGCTACAGTAGAAGGTTCTGGAAACTATCTGAGGCCCTATATAAGGCCGGTATAGACCACGACCGGGGCAGTATTGAATTGGCGATACAAGAGAATACTTCGAAGCGAAATAACGGCGAACTGTGTTTTATTATTAGTGTGATTTTAGATTGTAATTAGTGTTGTGTAATTAAAGTGTCAATTTTGGTAATTCAATCGGCAGTTTTTAATTGTCACGAACCCCAAGCTCGTAACAATTGGTGTCAGAAGTGGGATCAAATATGCCGATTTTACCTAAAGACGACACGGAGGGTATCCGTACCCGAAGTCAACGCCAACAGGAGACGGACCAGAGACGAATTGGTAATGCAACGCCACAAACGTCGGAGGGGCAGTTGCTAACCACGGAGGCCGGCCCGTCAGCAGCTCCTGCATCTGCAGCACCTGACTTAGGTGCTCTGATGATGATGCTGCAGGATCAGGCTCGCCGACAGGAGGAACAGGCTCGCCGACAGGAGCAACAGGCTCGCCGACAGGAGGAACAGACCCGTCGGTTGGAAGAGCAGCTGCAGCGCGGTATGGAAGAACAGATGCTCCTCAGGAAGGACCTTCACGCTACCTTCGGGAAAGAGATAAAGGAGGTGAAGGATAGGGTTGCTCAACATGACAACCGCCTGTCGGAAGCTGAAACCCGAATCGACCTAGTGAACAATCGGGTTGACAACGTGATGGCTGATGTGAAGAAAACGCTGGACGACCTCAAACTTGGGGATGGAATTACAGCTCCCGTAGTAGCTACAACACCTTCGCTACGTGGATTCAAAGTGCCGCCGTTCGACGGGAGTTCTTCCTGGTCGGCCTACAAAATCCAGTTCGAGGCTGTCATGAAAGCGAACGGCTGGAATAAAAGTCCGGCCATGACTGCTCTCACCCTAGGCCTACGCGACCAGGCCTTAACTGTTCTGGAAGCTCTCGGTAAGGAAGTAACTTACGAGCAGAGCAGCTCCTTGAGGCATTGGAGGCAAGATATGGCGATGCTCACCTGGAACTCGTCTTTCGTGCGCAGCTCAAAGATCGCGTGCAACGCAGTAACGAAAACCTGCAGCAGTGGGCCCTTGAGGTGGAGAAGCTGGTTCGAAAAGCGTACCAGTCTGTACCTGCGCTCATTGTAGGGAACCTGGTGCAGACATTCATCGACGGCATCCGCGACCTTGAAGTCAGAGCTGCTGTGAGGCTCGGGCACCACGAGACGCTTAAGGACGCCTTGACCCATGCACTGGAGGTGGAAGCCGTGCGGCAGGATCATCGTTCCCACCGCGTCAGGGAGATTGCAGCAGCTACAGTTCAGGACCGCAATAAGGGCTACAGCCCTAGGTGCTACGGCTGTGGGGAAAGGGGCCATCTTCGATCCAGCTGCCCTAAACGAACTGTAGAAAGGGAAGGTGATCGATATCGAGAGGGTAGTGTGGCTGACAGCACCGCCCAGCAACAGCAGGGAAACTGGCGGGTGCTGGCTGATGTTAAAAGAGCCCCAAGGATTTCGATCTCACAAACCCATGATGGGAACAGCCTAATCATCAAGGGCGAAGTCAACGGAACGCCGTGTAAACTGACCATAGACACTGGAGCCTCTCGCACGGTTGTCAGTTCCCAACTTATAAGTCGGTTCCTTGGGGACTCCGCATACAACCGAGAACGCATTAATTTGGTGACAGCCACCGGTCAGCGCATACCCGTCCGTGGAGAGAAGGAGATGGAGTTGAAGCTAGGCAACATGATCTACCTGCATAATGTCATCATGGCTGATATAATGGACGACTGCATCCTGGGCCTAGACTTTATGAGGAAGAATTGTTGTGAGATCGTCGTTAAGCAAGGTGTTTTGAAATGTGGACAAGAGGAACTTTTCGTGGAAGGGGCGTTACCAGGGAATGTGTACAGCCTTAAGAAGATTGTTCTTCCGCCGAGATCGGAAAAGATTGTGCCGGTTAGTCTTCCTCGGAGTCCTGGGCAAGCACATCGTTGTGTACTCGTGGAAAGGGTAGACAATGACCTTCAATGGAAAGTGGCTCGAACCTTGGTCAGAACCACCGACATCTCAGGAGTACGTGTGTT